ACCATGTGAATGGCTGGTGGCAGAAGAAACAGACCTATTCAAAGCTTCACTACATGTTCTATGAGGATCTGATTGAGGTGAGCTGATGTGTTTGTATGTGTGTTACTTTCTAGTGGAAGGTTAGATGATCAGATGTATGCCACTCTCATGTTTGTATGGTAAATATATGAATATATGAATATGAATATAAAAAACAAGTCTGAAAATCAGCCACATCAGCAACAAATATGAAATGACACATTTAGTTGAAGCATCCGACCATTTTTGGGAAATATCTGCTAATGAATGAGGATCACAAGAAATCATTAACAAAGGGTAAGCCAACAGTCACAGAGTTCCTCGACGCAATTTAAACATCCAGCATTTTTGTACCAGTTATGAATGTAAACTAGTTAATTTTTGGGGAATTTAATGGACAAAATTCAGACTTAGAGGTCAGGCTTAGAGTAGAAAGTCCAAAGGAGCTTGGGTAGTTTTGCTGTCGTTCCACTCCTTCCAGTGTGAAGCAAAAGGTAATTTTTCCCCAACACTGGCTTTGTGTATCCTGGCTCCAGTTTCATATTTACCCTAGATATGAGAGTGTCAGTTGAATTTCTTACCTAATTCTCTGCAAGAAAGCGGTTGAGCATATCTCCAAAATGTCAAACAATTATTTTAATTCTGAACCTTTAGTAGAGAGAAGTGAGAGAAATCATGTATCATGTATAGAGATGTGTTAATAACAATAGTAAAGTCTTTTTAACACTGGATGGTGGAGCTAATTAAATGTGCAGTCTGATTATTTGTAGAAGCTTTAAGTTATTTTCTAATTTATCTAAAACTTAATTGCATGTAAATAACTTTCATTTAACTTTGTAGCTGTTTTCTTTCCCAGTTTCTTTTGGATTAAACATTTTTTGTTGTTAATTTAATTTTTTAAGATGGCATGTTGAAATAATTTTTTCAGATAATTTAATTTCACTGTCTACAACTGATAGTTAACAATGTTGTTTGTCTCTCTTTTAGGAGACAGAGGAATCTTTGCCTTCAGCTACACAGAGACCCTTCAGAGTCAGTGGTTTCGGCCGGGTCCCAAACAAAGTTTGCAGCGGTTTGTTTGTGGTAGGAATGCGGTCTGACCTTAATCTGACCCAACTACCAGGTGTACACGCAAGCTTGAGCTAAACTGTAACTATAACTGCTCCTGTAGGCCAAATTGTTTTTCCCAGGTTTGGGAAGTTTATAATCCTAACAATCATATCATAACAAACATTAACAAACAAATAGCGTATATTTTTGACATTAGGCAAACACGCTTTGTAATGCGGACACACTTTGGACCTTTTTTCCCTTTTTTGGCAAGACCCTTTCAAAATTATCACGTAATTTAACAATAGCTCTTAAAAGATTAATAAAGAGAAAAAAAGTAACTTTTTGAAATATGCTGGGCCATATTAAAGGTCATTTACAAATACATTTATGTTTTTTTCATGTCTGTGACATATTCTACAGTTATAGACATTGAAACTGTAGTGAAAGGTGTATATGTTGCTGCTCTAATGTTGATATGACTATGAACAGACCCTTTTCACTTTCTACTTTAGCTGGCGACACTTCGACTCTAGTGAAGTGTCACTGCAGACTCAGGTTAACTCTTGAAACTCTCTGTTAACATGGGCCGAAATAAAATGCGCTGGCATGATCGACATCCACATGAATATCAAAATCACCTTTAATAATTACTTTATGTTTTTTAGGTCGGGTGTCAAAGACTAAGTACAATGCTTTCAAATGAGTTACAATTTTGTTTAGATTTAGGATTAGATAGATAGATACTTTTTTTATCCTGAGGGAAATTCAACAATTAATACACAAGGCAAGTTTACACAAGGCAAGACAGGAGTGGCAATCTGAGTTGTCTGTGACTTCACAGACAACTCTTATGATCACAGAAGAGAGGTTGGTTATCAAAGAAAGAGGAGGAAGGTTATATATTTACTATTAACATAAGTGGGGAAACACACCAGTATAAGAGAAAATACAACCAGCACACAGCAGTGAGAGGACACATTGAACTACCAGCAACCTGGACAAGGCATGTTTCTAGATAACTGGGTTTTCAAATATAATTTCTATAATGTACTTTTTTTCAGAATATGCTCAACACATGCAAGATGAAACTAATTATAACACATTTATAAATGTATCTAAAACTTAATTGCACGTGAGTAACTTTTATATAACTTTGTAGCTGTTTTTTTCCCAGTTTCTTTTGGGTTCATAACTTTTGTTATTTATCTTCTTTGATGACCTGTAGAAATTATTTTCTAAGACAATTTAACTTTGTTATGTACAACTGACAGTTAACAATGTTGTTTGAATCCTTTTCCTGACTATAAAATTGTTACTTGTGTAACACAGTACATGTTTTGTGTGTTTTGATTCTTTAATGTGTTTTCTTTTTTCAAAAGATGGATTTATTTCCTTGACCAGAACTGTTTGATTTCCACGGAGTCCCAATGACCCACTATTTCACAGACAACTGGGAGAACATTCAAAACTTTCAGGCCAGGCCAGATGATATACTCATTGTATCATACCCCAAAGCAGGTCAGTACAGTGCTTTATACTGTAGCTCTTTATAGATGTGTGTATGGAGGTGAGGGGCTGGGATTATTTCTTTTATGTCTTTTTATTTCCTCTGTCTCTCTTTTAGGAAACACCTGGCTCAAGTACATACTCGACCTGCTGTATTTTGGTCAGACTTCTCCAGAGCGTCAGACAGCCATGCCTCTCTATGCAAGAGTGCCTTGCTTGGAGATCATCATCTCCTCTAAGCCAGGTTGAATTAACAATCACCTACTCACCATATTTCATATGTCACAAATATGCTAACATTTTTATGCCATGTTAATAATTTGCTGCCTTTTGCTTAAATTAGTAAACTGAACTGTTCACATTAAATGTTACACGTCAGTATGTTGTATTGTAAAGGTTGTATGCCAGGGAGTGTACAACAGCTTAATGGTAATTTTGTTCATTTGTCTTGGTCATTGTACCTGAACGCTTGATGTGTAGTTGTATCGTGTTTGTCATTCACTGACATGTAAATGGGTTTAATGTGCAGGATCTACACGTATGTACAGAGGAACAGAGCTGGCAGGCAACCTCCCCACCTCTCCTCGACTCATTAAGACTCATCTTCCTGTCCAGTTTCTTCCAAAGTCCTTTTGGGAGCAAAACTGCAGGGTTAGTTTGTGTGATATTTTAACCTCACAAGAAGCTTTGTGATTATATTAGTACAGTGCAATTTGAGGAAATTTTGGCACACATGTCCAAAAGGGCACCAAAACACATGAGGTGGTAAAAAAAAAAAAAAAAATACTACATTCAAACAATTAATCAATATAAATTGAAAACTACTAATGGAAGAAAAATGTTTTTTTATGTGTTATTCTGAAAAATCCTGTTATTGTGTAAATTTACCCCAAACAGACTTTTATTTGAGTTGGGTATTGACCTTGGAAAACCAAATTTGGTAACACTGAATAATCTCTGATGAAAAAATGCCATAAATGTCAACACTCACTCAAAAAATATGTAAACAATTTATTTAAGTGCAGTGCCAATAGTTGACAATTGCACTATTTAAACAAACACATGTTTGTTCTGCTAAGGCAATAGTTAACCTTTTAGAGTCACAGCCCTCCAGAATAATCCGGTTGGTGTTCGTGGACCCTATGTTGAATGTCATTAAAGA